AAATCCATGAAGAAACTTGTTTATTCTCAGTCGTGCTGCTTCCCTTCCTATAATAAAACTGACAGATCAAGAAGAACGCATTAACGGACAACGTTTCGCAAAGCTTAATATGGAAAAGATCTTGAGCAGAAACTGGGAGGACTTTTGGAGTTTGTGTTTCTGATATCCAGATGACTTTTTTCACAGCTAGCTCCCAAGTTCGTGATAAAGAGATTCGCATGCTAAGATTTAATGGAATTTTACTTTCCTGTTACATAAAAATACCTATAAATATAGGCGCCCGAATACTTGTTCGAAACGGCAATTCGTCTGTATTGTCGTAGCTACCGCTGTGACTGTGGGCCCGCTTTATAAAAGAGACGCGTTCTTATTTACACAAGCTATATGCCAATGGTCCTACTAAAGAACTGATTTGTAATTGTAGGCGGCATTATCGTATATGTCAGAAACGCTACCATACGTGGACGAATATCTTTTTCGCGTGTCAACCTGTACGGCTCTAATGGTGCTTTAAAGGACTGCTGAGTGACTACCTTACATGGATTCGATATCATAACACTGGCCACCGTTCACGCTTGCTTCACACATGCCGATGCCTATACACTCCAGATAATTACTGATGTAAAGATGGATACTTTTTGTTTTTTGGTCAAATACCTAAAGGAAGCTTGAGGACGAAAATCGTATTCCGTAGAAGGTTGCTTAAATCGGATTATGACTGCAAGCGCCAATCATCATGTCCAACTGAATATATATTTATATCCCAAGTCCACGGATTAGCCAAACTTTTTAAATGAGGTAAAAAAATTTGTGAAATAATACCGCGGCCGACGATTACCAGAATTTGGCGCGCGCTTCTAAGTCGACCTTCATTTCCGACCTCCAAGGGATTTAAAATTTCTTCGAGATCAGGGCTATTAGAAGACTCTACAGCGTGTCAGGACTAGGATTTAACCTCGACCGTCAAATACCGTACCCTTCAGAAGTCTACAACAGGACTAGGCTGACTCCTGCAAAATTTTGGCTTCATCGAACTTTATCCTTCGCCGTTATACTGCTTCTACGCCCAGGAAGACTATTCCATTGCCGAACAATACAGCTAGAACTACTACAAAGGCCGAGTCGTTCCTGATATCATAGATATTCGTTTTACCATCGTGTCAAAGCTATCGTGTAAATTAGGGTTTTTGGGGAATTTCCTCAACTATTACTCCACTTCTATCGGTTCTAGTGCAGAATTTTATCTTAATGCATTCACATAAAGTCAATAAAGGCACGGAAATTGTAAGCTTGTGCGATACAGCCCTGCAAGACGGGAAAAAATGTTCGCCAGTGCCTGTATTCGAAAGCCCGACATCATCGCAACGAAGGAGAAAAGTCAGTCCACCACCCGGATTCGAACCCCGGCCCCCTCGCGTGGGAGTCGAATGTCTACCCAACTGGGCTACCGCCGTACAGTGTGACAGTTTTCAAACTCCCTTACTAACTACACAAAATCGATCTAGAAGTCTTTTGAAATCTCCTGCCAAACGAACGAAAAGTCTTAAAAGTTTAAGGGATGGAACTTATAAAGATGAAACCTGCATAAAATATTTTACCCTTCTGAACAAATTTACGAACCTTGAGAGGGTGGTAAATAATCTAAGAGTGGAGATGGAGGAGTTGAATAAATTTCCTCGATTTCTCCCTCAAGAGGAGAACTTGGCGATGCCTGAACTTGAGGGAGGTGACCCAACGTTAGGAGAAGCAGCATCCCTTGCCGAAGCGTCTACGCAGAAAAATGATCCGGCAGCCAGGGTGCTTGACGGAGTCATTAGTCTGTCATGGACAGAGAAAATGCTCAACCCACAGGCTTCTCGGAGAACAAAGAAGCGCTCTCGGACTCCCAAAAAAGACCAATTAAGCCACACGGCTAATATAAGTGGGCCAAGCTTAAGCCCAATCCAAACAAAAAGAGCACCTTCGAAGGCTAAAATGGACATGAGGGCTTCAGTAAGCGCCGAACCTGGCAGTGAATCTCTCCTAACAAACCCTGGTGAAGCAGAAGAGGACGACAGTCGGAAGGTGAGTACTACTCGTATAAACTGCATAGCCATAAAAGGCATGACGGAAGCTACTTCCGATACCCCGAAGTCAAGAATAGAACTAAAAGAATATCTGAAATTCCTCCTAAAGGGTGAGGAGAAAGTCGAAGTTCTGGCATGACGGAAGCTACTTCTGATACCCCGAAGTCAAGAATAGAAGAGGACAGGAAGTTATTTAAAGAATATCTGCAATCCCTCCTAAAGGGTGAGGAGAAAGTCGAAGTTCTAAAGGCATTCCGAATGGGCCGCATAACAGAATCAAAAGATGAACAACGCCAACCAAGACCGTTGAAGGTTATCCTGAAGAGTGAAGTCCAGGTCCAGCTATTGTTAAGCAGAAAACAAATACTCAGATACTCCCACCCAACGTTCTTTTCAGCCGGATTTTTCCCCCGCGGAGCGGGAGAAATGGAGATTGCTCAAA